GTGAAAGTAAGTTATGACATCAGTTTTCTGAAAAACAGCGGCAAAGTGAAAGTAGGAGACACGAGTGGAAGGTGACACAACATATGGTGGTTTGGACTTGGTGATAAAGGCTGTGTACTTATCAACGCTAGGGCCGTGAATGTCTGTCGCCAGTGACCGGTGGGTATCATTTATCGTCGTCGTAGACATTTCCGTTAACATCGATAAACTATTTTATTTTTATCGAGAACATTTATTACGCAGTTGAAACATTTGGTCATGAAACCAAGTAACACGGTTCAGAATGTATAAACATATATTTTCTGGGACCTATGAGGTAACTGAACGTTATTGAAACTGGTCGTGTGTGTGTGTGTTGGTGGGTGGGGTGTGTGTCTTTCATACGTAAGATTGTAGTTTTCAGTAAAAGACTTAGTATGTTTAATTGCTAGTTACTTTACTGGTATCATAAAAATGCGTGTTTGCCTCTCCAGCTTGAACAGAATTAGATATTATGCAGTGGTGAGTCGTTCGTCGTCCGTCCGGCGTCTTCTTTAAATGACCTAATATTAACTAAACGAGACATGATATGTGAACAGCAGTATGTTAAGATAAAAAGTTATTTTTGTTCAAAACATCGTCCTTCGTCGAGTCTCAAGAGAACGGCAGGGGTGGATCTATTGACCAAGAAAATATATTTTTTTCTCATTGTTTTTATTGTCGTAAATCCAGAATTCAAGGCTCTAAGGAAAGCGATGTCGTTAACGTGTAAACTGTTGCTCTCCATGGGAGAGAGGAATGACTTCATAGGGGTAGAAAGAGATACAACTATCAAAAAATGTATCCTTTCGGAAGGATGAAGTGGTTTGAATAATAATAAAAAAGACAGGGATAATTAGTGGGATCCAGGAAATTTGAGATGCTTATTATAAACAGAGAGATATCGATTATACTTTCTCCCCATGCGCCGTGACGTCATTGTCATATAGCATTGCTTACATAAATGACAGTTACTAACACCACAAGATGATCACGAGAAAAACCTATTGTAAAAGATGTGTTCGTTTTCAGATGCCCACATTATTTACCAATACAATTTAAGTGTTCGCTCAAAAGATCGTGTTCTTTACTTGTTTATTATTTTTTTTTGTAAAAATGTCATTGGAGTAGAAATATTATAAGTGTGAAGTTATCGTATAATTTTTCGAGTTTGTTTTAATTAAGATTAATATTTTAAAGCAGTATCACTACAGAACGAATGGAATAGATTTCATCAAACGTAAACCGAAAGTAGACTGAAAGAATTTTAAACCATGTTTAAAACGAAAGTTGATCCTCAGAGGGTTTTCAGTAGGTTTGGCCAAATGCATAGTTTCGTTATTGAAATTCAGTGTTCCATTCTAGGAGGGTAAACCCCTTGTAACACTCTGGGGTAGAAGAGAGGTAGTGTGGATCGGGAAAACTCTTTAACCTAAAAAACCAGCTTAACGTTAAAGTTAATTTGATTTTATTGATTGGTAAAAACTCTGAACATGTTTGGTCTTATTTATTGGCTTTTATCTACATCTACACTAAACCAATCACATGCACAGTTCGATACAACTATCTTTTATAGATAATTAAATGTCACATGATCATCCGATGGCGAATTTATGAACAAATCTTCTTTAAAGAATGAGAGTCCTTTCCACTATTGTGATTGTTTGAACTGATGTTTAATTATTGTAAAATACTACACATGTACAATCTCTTTGCAATGATATTAATATGTCACGACATCTTCAGTCACTTTTGTTACGGAAAAATCTATTTTGTGAGTGAAAAATATAACAAAATGAGAAATACATTGCATTTACTATATCTCTTTTAGATAGTCAAATACATGGAGTCCGGAAATATAAAGCCTTAAATATCACGGTAACAGTTAAATCAATATTACTGTAAATCTGTTGCTCAATGGTTTTAGATTATAACAGTTAAATCAATGTTACTGTAAATCTGTTGCTCAATGGTTTTAGATTATAACAGTTAAATCAATGTTACTGTAAATCTGTTGCTCAATGGCTTTAGATTATAACAGTTAAATCAATGTTACTGTAAATCTGTTGCTCAATGGTTTTAGATTATAACAGTTAAATCAATGTTACTGTAAATCTGTTGCTCAATGGTTTTAGATTATAACAGTTAAATCAATGTTACTGTAAATCTGTTGCTCAATGGTTTTAGATTATAACAGTTAAATCAATGTTACTGTAAATCTGTTGCTCAATGGCTTTAGATTATAACAGTTAAATCAATGTTACTGTAAATCTGTTGCTCAATGGTTTTAGATTATAACAGTTAAATCAATGTTACTGTAAATCTGTTGCTCAATGGTTTTAGATTATAATAGTTAAATCAATGTTACTGTAAATCTGTTGCTCAATGGTTTTAGATTATAACAGTTAAATCAATGTTACTGTAAATCTGTTGCTCAATGGTTTTAGATTATAACAGTTAAATCAATATTACTGTAAATCTGTTGCTCAATGGTTTTAGATTATAACAGTTAAATCAATATTACTGTAAATCTGTTGCTCAATGGCTTTAGATTATAACAGTTAAATCAATGTTACTGTAAATCTGTTGCTCAATGGTTTTAGATTATTTTCGATTGTCGAAAAGGAGCATTAAGGAATAATGTCGATGTGTTTGCATGTTACTATTGTAGAAATTTAGGAAAGTACAGAAGACAAACGAATGAATAAACCGATCACTGAACAAACACGATATCATATTAGTGACTAACAAACACGATATCATATTAGTGACTAACAAACACGATATCATATTAGTGACTAACAAACACGATATCATATTAGTGACTAACAAACACGATATCATATTAGTGACTAACAAACACGATATCATATTAGTGACTAACAAACACGATATCATATTAGTGACTAACAAACACGATATCATATTAGTGACTAACAAACACGATATCATATTAGTGACTAACAAACACGATATCATATTAGTGACTAACAAACACGATATCATATTAGTGACTAACAAACACGATATCATATTAGTGACTAACAAACACGATATCATATTAGTGACTAACAAACACAATATTATATTAGTGACTAACAAACACAATATTATATTAGTGACTAACAAACACAATATTATATTAGTGACTAACAAACACAATATTATATTAGTGACTAACAAACACAATATTATATTAGTGACTAACAAACACAATATTATATTAGTGACTATCAAACACGATATCATATTAGTGACTATCAAACACGATATCATATTAGTGACTAACAAACACGATATCATATTAGTGACTATCAAACACGATATCATATTAGTGACTAACAAACACAATATTATATTAGTGACTATCAAACACGATATCATATTAGTGACTAACAAACACGATATCATATTAGTGACTAACAAACACGATATCATATTAGTGAACACAGAAATACCAAAAAAAAAACACGATATCATATTAGTGAACACAGAAAGACTAACTAACACGATATCATATTAGTGAACACAGAAAGACTAACAAACACGATATCATATTAGTGAACACAGAAATACTAAAAAACACGATATCATATTAGTGACTAACAAACACCATATTAGTGACTAACAAACACGATATCATATTAGTGACTATCAAACACGATATCATATTAGTGACTAACAAACACAATATTATATTAGTGACTATCAAACACGATATCATATTAGTGACTAACAAACACGATATCATATTAGTGACTAACAAACACGATATCATATTAGTGACTAACAAACACAATATTATATTAGTGACTATCAAACACGATATCATATTAGTGACTAACAAACACGATATCATATTAGTGACTAACAAACACGATATCATATTAGTGAACACAGAAATACAAAAAAAAAACCACGATATCATATTAGTGTACACAGAAAGACTAACAAACACGATATCATATTAGTGAATACAGAAAGACTAACAAACACGATATCATATTAGTGAACACAGAAATACTAAAAAACACGATATCATATTAGTGACTAACAAACACGATATCATATTAGTGACTAACAAACACGATATCATATTAGTGACTAACAAACACGATATCATATTAGTGACTAACAAACACGATATCATATTAGTGACTAACAAACACGATATCATATTAGTGACTAACAAACACGATATCATATTAGTGACTAACAAACACGATATCATATTAGTGACTAACAAACACGATATCATATTAGTGACTAACAAACACGATATCATTATTGACTTAACAAACACGATATCATTATTGACTAACAAATACGATTTCATATTAGTGAACACAGAAATACTAAAAACATGATATCATATAAGTGAACACAGAAAGACTAACAAACACGATATCATTATTGACTAACAAATACGATATCATATTAGTGAACACAGAAAGACTAACAAACACGATATCATATTAGTGACTAACAAACACGATATCATATTAGTGACTAACAAACACGATATCATATTAGTGAATACAGAAAGACTAACAAACACGATATCATTACTGACTAACAAATACGATATCATATTAGTGAACACAGAAAGACTAACAAACACGATATCATATCAGCGAACACAGAAAGACTAAAAAACACGATATCATATTAGTTGTCATCATTTTTTAATGTTTTAATACGTATACACAAGCTTCATAGATATTTTTTTCTATCTTGATGAATTTTGATATGAATATCATAAACACTATTTTAATGTTCTTTATGATGTTCGATGTAATTAATCACAACACAAAGAATGATACAAGGTAAACTGAATAAGTCAATCTTCCGTCAAGAGACGACAAAAAACGCATATTTATATTTGAAACATTTGTATACTAAAGTATACGGATTTGTCATATTTAAATATCTTTATCACATATTAGCTTTGATGTGATCACGACAATTTTCTCATAATTTAATTAGTTTTTTTGAGTTGATTGTATTTGCTTGTAGAATAATAGATAAGCGAATGGTGAGTTAGGCCATTCTTCATCAATTTCTAGTCTTCTGACATAGGAGTCGGCACACAGGTGCCAAAGGTACAGATGATCCGGGTTCCATCCGTACTTCTTTACGTAACACCAATAATGTCCTTGATCAAGATCTCCCTCGTGACAGATAACTCCATATAACTCGTACCATACACGTGCACATTCCCTGCCGGACGGTCCCTGACGAAGATCAAATTAAGCTTTAAAATGTTTTAAAATTTTGGATTATCATGTCGCGTGACGTTTTCATATATATGTTAAGTTGCATGGAATCAATCAAATGTCTAAAAATTTTGTACTTTCATGTAAGATATATATATATAAAATGTTTTGTCACCTGTTTGCTGACTAAAAGGGTTAGCTCTGTAGGGTACATAACGTTGCCCGCGTACTTGTACAGCCTTCCGTGTGGTTCGTCCGTTGAAAACACATCCTTGCAAAAACAATTAATTAGTAACTTAAATAAATCATATATTACATTTTTGAGCACACTCTATATTTTGATTTTCACGACGGTACCGTTTTCAGGTAAAACTGATAGGGTTTAGATAGGCTGTGTTCACTTAAGGTATAGACACCAAAAGTTAATTTTGAATTATGTCTTATAAGTAAACTGTGAATTAGACATGAATGGAAAGGAACCAGAAGTAAAGCGTTATATAAACAACTTATATCAATGACAAAAATCAAAGGACAAGAAACATGAACCCTGTAACTTAAATAAAATCGTTTTTGACATACCTGTTTAAACCTGGAGAGCTGTAGAACAAGTATTTGTGCTGGGCTTTCTATGATGAAGTGTTTAAATGTGATAGTGTCTGAAAAAAATGACCTAGACATTAGGATTAGTAGTTCATTCTGAATTCTGATCCGAAGAATAAAGCAAAGAATGAACACTTAACGTAAATTTGATAATGTATATCAGTATTACAAACACAAATATACTGTTACACTACAGTTCGCTACATACAGCTTCAGGTAAATCACATGTGCACAAATAACGAATTTAACACACCATTTTTATCTAGTGTAATGACCTATTAAAGACTTTATACTGCTCTTCATGTTCTGTATAGTTACAATACAGGTACCGACAGTCTTTGATGAAAGACATTGTATGCCTTTTTATGTTATAGTGACACATAGGAACACGAGATAACCTTCATAGTGTTTCTCCTCTTTCAAACATGTCCTACATGGTACTTGGGCGTCGTGAAAGGCCACAGTCTCATCTAAAAGCTTGATACTCTCATTAACGGAACACTGAAAACAAAACGTTGTACTGATGTTTATTGTATTTCTAACGCTGTTGCAACTGATAAAGGACAATGTCTTGGTTTCGTCCCTCTTGTCTTTTATACCGGTTATATATAAAATTGTACAAAAGACACACAAGTTTATAGCACAATTGTATACAGATATCACAAATATAACATGTATACGTGATAGAAGTGAAAATATAAAGTTAACTTACATATTTGTCATCAACAGTCAAAAGCAGTGATCTAGTACACTCCGGCGGGCATTCTTCAACCTGTTAGTAGGAATCATGGCATAGATAGATTGATAAATAAATAAGTAAATAAATAAATAGATGTGAACTTGTTGATATACAATAAATATAGATAACGAATGATTCTGGTGTTAACAACATACGTAATAAGTATAGAACTCCGAAATACTCACGTGGTCGCACGTCGAATACCTGAATATTTGTCGCGCATGCGCGTCGAACAAGGATGTACATCCTGTAAAATACAACACGTCTGTGAAAATGAATGGTATCACGAAAATGATAATTGATCACGTGGTACATACCACGAAATCTTAATACTTGTGGTACATTGAATTCTATGTCCTGTTCTTGGCCTTTAAAAGCTCATCGTCTCTCGCACTAAACCCTTACCTTCGATCTCTTCGTCCAACGCACTCAGCAAACTGAGGTATAAAGAGTGACAGTCATTTTGGTTTCCACTTTGGTAACATTCATCTCTGCAAAATTATAAATGACACAATGATGATGTCACTTGTGGTAACATTTATCTCTACAAAATTACAAATGACACAATAATGATGTCACTTGTGGTAACATTTATCTCTACAAAATTACAAATGACACAATAATGATGTCACTTGTGGTAACATTCATCTCTACAAAATTACAAATGACAAAATGATGATGTCACTCTTAGTAACATTTATCTCTACAAAATTATAAATGACACAATGATGATGTCACTCTTGGTAACATTCATCTCTACAAAATTACAAATGACACAATGATGATGTAACATTCATCTCTACAAAATTACAAATGACACAATGATGATGTAACATTCATCTCTACAAAATTATAAATGACACAATGATGATGTCACTTGTGGTAAAATTCATCTCTACAAAATTATAAATGACACAATGATGATGTTACTCTTGGTAACATTCATCTCTACAAAATTATAAATGACACAATGATGATGTCACTTGTGGTAACATTTATCTCTACAAAATTACAAATGACACAATGATGATGTCACTTAATCTAAACAGTTATAGCATTGCCCACATTCCTTTGTTTTAACACAGGAACACATTGTCTGGTACCTATTTACCTTTTAGACATCGAGTTCTGTAGTTCTGACACAAGATTATATAAATCCTCTTCTGTATAGCAACTATCATGTTGTATATCATTAATCTCCACAAACAGCTTAATTAAAGTCTCGGCCACGTGACAGTTCTGTTACCATGGAAACAACAATCATACATGTATAAATATATTCAAATCAGATCAAACACATACGCTTATCTAATAAAGTTCGTGTGTAAAGTAGAATAAGAAAGAGAAATTATGACATATTTTGATAAATTGTAAATAATATATTTTAATACGACTCTTTATATACTATTCACTAATGTAAACGGTTTGTTATCTAGATAAAATATATCAAATTTATATCGAAGAAATAGTAATATGATTATATGCATCCCTTAGAGTGTGTTACCAGGTAAGTATTATATGCTAATGAATGTACAGTGAAGAATTGTATAGATCTTACCTGACGGGCTGTAAAAAGTTTGTCAATGAAGCCAGGTGTTTGTGCTAAAACCTGTCAAACAGAAAATGTCTTACATAAAAATGATATATACATACGTGTATATGTTAAAGGTCAAGAAAGTGATAAAACAGTATTATTTCAATTGATTGGGAGATGAGTGTAAGGTAATACTGCTAACATACATATATCTTCACATATTGATGATATTTGTGAAAACGGTATTGCATCAGGCGTATTTCTTACAATTTTCTAAAGAATCATTTTGGAAGCGTATATCACAATAACTAACCTGAATCAGTGATGAGATATAACACGAGCTAGCCTGTATATTGGGAAGGCCCTGTAGGTTTGTTAAGGAAAGAAACACTACAGTGTGTGACAATGTAATGGAAATACGAATTCACCCCAAACAACATAAAAGGATACTCTGATCAGATTTCCGTCGCTTCTGTCCGTATTGTCGCCTGCTTTTATTCCGTTGTTATTTATAACATTAAGTTCTTGTTTAGCTGAAAGTGCAAAGGAGACATGTTTGAATTATTTCTCAAATCGTATCAGTATTCAATACCAATTATTTCCTCCAGTAACAACGCAGACTTGTGTTAGTTTTCTGTAATTATCAGAACTAACGGATAGTTACTCCAGCTTTTCTTTTCTCTAATAAAACCAGCAACAGGTACGTATATAAAAAATCCAGCCGAGTTTTGAGCCAAATTATCACATAATAAGCATGTATATTTCAATTAGTGATATAGATTTACCGATGTCATCCAAAGCAGTGTCTTGGTTCACCAGCCTTTCTTGTTGAATACTCTCTTCATTATCCTGTTACATAAAAAAACTATTATATTAAGTTTGATTGTAATTTGTTTTGAGGAAAGCGAATTTTGATATAATTTGAATCATGACAGATTTTTTTTCACATGTAACATAAAAAACGAGGAACCGGTTGGGACTATATTGTAATCCACTAGTTTCACATTGTGTTGAGAAAATACTTTACCAATGTGGTTATTTTCTAAAGGCTTAAAAATAAATGAAGATGCTTTCCGGCACAATTCATCATTGGTTCTTTTAACGAATATGTAACTAGCGTCAGAATCCTAAAGGTGTAACGGCTTTATAGTTAAGTGAGCCTCAATGTGGATAAGTCTGTCAGAGTTATCTCCCATATACTGTTTATCGATATGTTACCTTGTTTTGATTGCAGTCATAGTTTGATGTTTGGCTTTCTTTAGATGGAAAAGACGTTCCGTCTCCGTGTACTTTTAAATCTGACGGTTCGAAATTATAAAACACTATAGATAAAATGGTAATTTCAATCAATGACACAGCATGGTATCGTGCACGGGACAAATAACATGAATACAGGAACATAATTAATATTTACGTTTTCAAAAACATCAAAGATTTGTTAAAACTTATGTTAGTTAAGTAAAATAATTTAATATAATCACACAATTAAAATGTCTTACCGCTATGACTTTCCTTTGCATTGTAGCTTTCTTCTTTCGCTTCTTTCTGATTGGAACCGTCTTTATGAGATTCTGATTCCGACTATAAAACGACGTTGAAGTTTTAAAGTGGACAAAATACAATACGGCTGACAGAAATAATTGACACCAATTATTTTTTTACAGATTCATGCCTTTTGACACACATTTAATGAATACAGGATACATTCGTTTTAAATATTTATTGAAAGGTATACCTGGTGTATATTTAGTTCCAATGGTAACAGGCTGTCTTTTTTTGAATTAATACCAAATGGTACCTTATTATAAGCATTATTACTATTCCGGTGAAAATAACATCTTCCTCGCTACTAGATGGTTAATCAAAATTTATATTTGACCTTGGCAATGTCTTATCTGATACCTTTTCATATCCCTGATCGTTGTTGTGTCCCACAGTATCTTCTTTTTGATTTGATTCTGCATGCAAAGATATTCACAAGAGAGGAAAGTATAAATAAATAAAAATTGAATTTTTACATTGAATTTTAAATATTTTTGTTCAATGGAATAAAATGGGTAAATAGATGTAATACACACGTTTGTACAAGTATGACATCTACCTATTTCTTACCGTTATTATGCTTTCTTCCTGTGTCGCTTTCTGCTTGTAACTGTTGTTTCTTGTTATCTACCGCTAACGTTTGTTGTATCATGGTGCTTTGCTTCGGATTTTGTTTACTTGGGGTGGATCCCTTTGTGGTTGAAAATAATATAAAACATTATTAACAAAGTTCATAATAGCTGTCACTAACACATCTGAGATATGTACAACGTACCAAAAGATGTCTTTAGACACGATCAATAATTTCTTGGTGTGTTGTCTGTTAATGTCTAAAGGTAAGGGAGTAATTGAATTGAATTAAATAATTAGAATAATTTTCAAAACTTAATATAATTTAACTTCAGATTAAAGCATAAGATGCAAAACAAACATGAATAAATATCAGAGTTTACCGAGATAACCATTTTTCGTATGTATCGTCCTTTAATGTCTCGTCAGGTGTACGAGAGGCCTAGACATAATGTGTATAGAAGGCGAGTAAGTCTTATCGACCAAGATTTTAATAAAAGCAATATTTGTGTCAGTTGTACATTAGTGTTATTAACATTGGTGTTGTTGTTCATTATTTAGTATGTTGCAAATATTTCTGGACACGACGGGAAAAAGTTGTAAGATCTTCTGCCAAATCACGTGTCTAGATTTAACGTTAAAATATCACAATTGATGGAAACTGATATTAAAAATATCCCGTGATCCAATGTATTTCGTAGCTTTTATAAAGGATGACATACACATTTGCACATTCTGAGTTGTACTAATATTCACATCAATTCAAAAGGGCATTCTAGGTTAAGAAAGTTTTAACACGCCCGCCCCTCTGTGCAGTATACACACCGAGTAAAGAGACAGTACAGCCGTCCCAGATATTGACCTCTGTTTATTTCTTAGCCATAAATACCATTGTTGTGTGGTGATAAGGTATATTACTTTTTCAGCTGTAAAGATAGAACACCAATCTGACCATAGTTTTATAAATAACTCTTGGATTTCAACCATTCTTATAAAACATGAAAGGGACGTCAGTTTGGAGTAAAGTAATATTTCAAAATCGTTAGTATGTTTACAAAAACGTTCCCCTTTTTGAGAACAATCTTTTTTGAAGACTATTTAGAAACTGATAACGAAACTTAGCGGGTTATTTCTCCAATAACAAAAATGGAAGTTCATGATTTAGCATTAGATTACAATCAAGCACAGTATGAGTGTTTCATTGTTTACATTTTTGTTATAAGGGAGGAGTATGCTTATCTACTTACCATTATCAACTCAAGATGGAGTCGTTCTGCTCCTTATGTCTCTATAGAGACCAATTCCATTAAATCCTAGTCTGGTAATGAATATGTGTTGGGAAATAAACATACATCCATGTACTATGCTAGGGGTTCAAAACGAAAGCGGAAGTAGAATATTAATTATGAATACCATATATTTGTGCGGATTGAATGTTAACGTCGACTTTGACGGCGAAGTTATTTAGTCTGTATAATATGTTTAAAAATAGGTCCTTTATTTTCTCCAAGGTTTTTTTTTTTTTTAAAAGAAAGATTTTATTAATTATACATCAGATCGCACAAAAACGAAAGTAGGGAATTTCCATTTCCCTTTGGAAAATACGTCTTGCTTAGAGAAATAATCAAGTATCAAAACGAAAGCAAAAGTAGGAAAGCCACACCGAAAATTGAAAGGCTTTCAGCTGTACGTACATATTGAAAGTAAGTGTATGCTTTTAGATGTATGATTTGGATGGTGATAAAACCTCGATTCCATGGCATTGATGTATCTTTACTTGTGTTTTGTTATTATAGTTTCTATGTGCTAATGGAACTTCGGCAAAATATGTAGTGGAAACAGGACATATACAAAAATGTAAGTACAACTTAACCTGTAGATTATGATAATGACGATGATTTGCAAAATGATATTAAATGCGACATATGTATGGTTAGCTATAGAAAACGAAAGTGAAAATAGTATAGAATTACAAATACAGAGTACTAGTGCAGTGCCAGGATACAACGATCGAGAGTCATCTGTCCGGAAGATTCAGTATGATGAAACACGATATTTTCATAATATAATGAGTAAATAGACATGCTTATGGTTTAGAAAATACTGCTGCTCATAGATAGCCTTCATGTTAATAATATCGTTATTCAAATATTTGCGGATTAAGATTTCATAAAAAAAAGAATGTTATTATTACTGCATTATTTACAAGTTTATGTAATTTCAAGATTTTATTATTACAGAAAATAATTATGAGTTATGCGCGGGAGAAATCACTTCGAGCAAACGTAAGTATTCGCTTATTCATTACTGTCTTGTGATGAAGTTAATTAAACTAGGGTTATTAGAGGCATGTGATAAAATGGTAATTTAGACACTTTCTATACAGGTAATCGTTAAGTTTGGTGTATGCGTCTTGTTATGTTCAGTTTCTGTTTTGAATACTTCCGATAAAAATCTTATTCAGTAATCTGAGTTCTTTGCATTATCCACATGTCACTTGATTCTCTTCTTTCCATAAAGCTTTTATTCATGTACATCTCGAACAGTGATATTACCCGGAATTAAATATGACCTTACAATAGTTGATTTCAAGTATACGACCGTTACATTTTGTATATACATAACAGTGTTGACTGAAAGACCTGAAATTGGTTAACTTTTTCTTTTACATTTTTAACATCAGTCACATGGATCAAAAGTGTTAAAATCTACAAGGGCTAGTACGGTTGTAACCTTGTTCTACAATTTAGCTGTCAAATGTTTTTTAAATGACCCCCAGTCCTTAAAGACATTGTTTTTTGTGACTTCACGTGCGACATATATACTGTAAAGAACTGTTTAAGAAGAAACATAGAAGTTACAAGAAAATACTTCCCAGATTCCATCATTTAAATGTAAGGAGCAGAACAGGTTAGCGATACAGGCCCTTTAGCCCTCTTGCACTCAAACGTATAGGATGGAAACACATAACACAAAGTTTCTGATAAACTAAAGTGACATGACTTAAAGCAATGGAACTCGCATCGTGAACCACAGGGCTCATACAAAAGATTTGGTTGTCAGTGATGATTTAGCCATCTTGAATTCATTCTACACAGGTTGCTGCTTTTAGAGGTAACACCATCATGGCACGGTAGACACAACTTCTATTTAAGTATCCTTAATCTCTTTGCTCTGTTTGAACTTATCTTTTAGATAAATAAAGAAATATAATGATAAGTTACCGTCTACCCATCAATGTATATGCTATTTCTAGAGTTCCGGGTCATCAGGCAATAGACCACAACATAGAGAAAGACGGATGAGGGACGATGCAGGCATTGTAAGTGACACTCACTTCTTCAATTAGCTATCCATTGTCTTTACCACATATGAAATTATAAAAAATAATAAGGTACTAATACTCCATTTACAATACCAGATTCGTCTGCAATTAATGGATTTCACTAACTATTTCGCACTGGGTAATAGTGGGTTGTTCAATGACTGGCTAGTGCTGTGATTATGCAAATATCACTATCTTAACAAATATGGGCAAAAGAACACAATGTTTGGTACAAGAATGTATCAAATAAACGATTGAAGAGATGCATAATACAACTGTTTAATATTCTGTCACTGTTATAGATAATTAATGACTAATTAAAAATCATAACAAACTACGCTAATTGTACCGAATATGTGAAAACAGTACAATCAAAATATTAGAACGACTATACTGTAAGACTATAGGTGTAACCAATGTACAACAATGCTTTGCTTTACCATTCAACTTTTCCACAATAAATGGTCAGGCTTCATTAAATGTTTTCAAAAAACAATCATAATGATTCACAAGGGCAATAATTATTGCAAACTACTATGAATAACATCTGTTCTGTGCTAAATATTTAAAAAATATTGTGTAAAAAGAGGTTATTCATGAATAATGATGTTAAATAATGGTTTCATATATAATGGAACACAAATAATTGTAAATGCAAAGTTTGTCTAAGTAAATTATGATTTTTTTTGTGAATAAAAAAGTAAAAGGTCTGCAGACAAGAATCGAGTTATTGGACGCCATATTTGTAAATCTTGAAGAGTAAATTTAACATTAAGATCGCCTAGCTTTTAACTGTGTTTTGTTGTGTGTTCTTTCAAAGGTGTATTATCCTAATATTGTCTTGATGGGACCACTAGAACCCGTACGATTTCATGTAAGAAGAAAATATTATTTGTATTGCAACATTTTATCCGGAACACTTAAGAATTGAATTTGAATAAATAAACACACCCCATCCATAAAACTAATGGAGTTTGTTGCGTCAAGAGAAGAAAGAAAAGAGGTTCGTCAGATATAAAAAAATACCAATTTGGTTGGCAGTACTTGCACTTGCTTCTTTGTTTCCAACTCTATGAAATGTGTATTGATAAAAAAGGACAACTAAAACAATATTTACTTCACCACGACACATTGAGTAAATAACGAGACATAATCAGGGAAGAGTGTACCTTTTAGATTTTATGTAAGATTATCCAGTATCAAGTTAGAGTATATCGATATATATATATTTCAAGTAGTACTTCTTTATACCACATTTGCTGCTGAAGTAAGAAAGCATTGACAGACCAAGGAAGTGAAAGCGACAAAATCAGGGGGAAATGTGCTGCTAAATATAATCTTTTTACGTTCTATGATTTTGTAGTGGTACCCATTACCTCAAGACCTGTTTTTAGCATGTGTTGATCTATTTCTAATTTCAATTACACATTCCCTATTTATTCTTTTTGCAAAGGTTCAAACTCAGGATTGGTGGGAAGAGCAAAGTAACTGGCTTTGGATGAAAAAATTATGTTATCAATGGTTGTTTAATAGATCTGTCTCAGATTGCATATGTGCTGTAGCATTTGACCTTGTTAAAGATTAAGTCTCAGATGTATTTGTAGCCACCGTGTTAAACTGGAATTCATCTGTGACTGAAGATTTAGTGTTAAAAGCAATCATAACAACTTTCCTTTAAAACTATAATGCACGTATACTGTAACGATTTGTTTTTATTTTGGATTGTAATTTTCGCAAATACGTGATTAATCCATTTG